ATACGCATACATATATGTTCGAAATCAATATTAATGTTTATCAACTGTAAAAATTATTCATGCATAGATAAATATAGCTGCGATATTAAAAATGATGTGATGCAAAAGTAGAGAGAAAATATAATACAGACTCTAATAATTAAAATGATTAAACTGTGTGATATATATAATCAAGTTGGTTGTAACTTGTTACGCGAAACTTTCTATTCTGCGGCTTTTCAATTCCGCGATGAACAAAGTTCCAGTGGGTTATCATAACCAGGCAGTTATCATAAATTCTGTATACTAGTCATAGACACAACTTGTACGAACGTTAATGCGCGCGCACGCGATGGAATGTGTTTTGCGCATACATCGCGCTATTTTACGACCACGAGCGACAGCATGTTGAGATTGAGATACGACTGGTCTCATAAATACGCGCCGAATCGTGTCCGAGTTGAAACCCCGACATTCTCGGGCTCGGGGTGTAAAAATGAAAACATTGCGCGTTAACTCCGTACAGCTTGGTTGGAGCAAATATCGCGGTTCCCTTTCCTTTTTAAAATTAGATTTACTCTCGAGGATCACCATTTTTTGACCACAGGATAGAAGAGAGGACGCGGCAGCTGCTCCTGCGCGTCAAACCTGAGAGAGGCGTCGTTGTGTTGCCTTTATATTCCTCGGGCGACCTTTTACCGACAAATTTATCGTCATCCTCGAGTTTATGATCCGTTAGACGCGAATATGGTTGCAAGGAGCTCTAATACACACTCCTTCTCCCTTTTTTTTTTTTAAATTAAATTTGCCAATAATAAGCATTTATTTCCGTTCAAAAAATAATGTCGAGATTTTTAATTTAATCGCCACTCGGCTTGATTTAATTAAATATATACAGTAATTATTTATAAATATTTAACATTTTTTTTTCGAAAAGTATTCCCCTAATAATGCGTTAAAGGTATTTAGGACAGGTCTAACGTATAATATATTATAGAATGACAGTCGAGAAACCGGAATGTTCGAATCGGGAAGCTTTTCGGATGGTCACACGATAGGTTCTGTTGAGAAACGTCCAAAGTTTTCTCCGACCGAAAAGACTAATTTTTCATTCGGCTAAAATGTTACGATCGTCCATCGACGTTAAGCGCAGAGTACATTAATCAGTACTTATCGACGATGCTTAAAGCGTATTCGTTCGACCGGCATTTCCAGGACAGACAATGGCTAATCGTCGGAGCCACCTGTCCCCGTCGTAATCTCACAAGGTGTAATTAACGAAACGACGTTAACATGCGAACTCGAATGGAATGGGTTAAAGCACTCATGGAAACTATGTCTGTTCGACGTTTAATGGCGTGTCGTATATCGACACTGATGCAACAAAGATATCCGGCTAACGTCTCGTACCCGAAACGTCGTCTTATTATAATTAAAGGGCAATAATACGGTATATGGGCGCATTTGACGGACGAGCGGTCGTAAAAAAAGGCCACGATTACTTAACTCATTTAATATTACTCTCGCGATTCTGAGATTTATACTTTCAATATAAGATATTACATCTTGAGAACATATTATGTGCATTTGATTTATATCTTTTGCATGAATGTTTTATTTCGCAAAGTGATTGCGCAGGCTTAAATAATGCGGCAAATATTTAATCCAGATATATCTCGAAAAATCAAGCCTCTATTAATGTTAGTTTACGACGATATCTCAAATGCATATAAATCCATCATAGTCTGAAATTTATGGAGGTGCCTTTTTTGCATGCATTCCTTTACCGCATCGATCGAGGTAAAGGCCTTCTAAACTTTTAACGAGACGCCAGATGTTACATAGTTATATACTCAGTTATACGCAAACGACAGTGATTGTACGAAACTGAATAGATATTACCGATTACAAGAGAAGCAAGAATTCTAATTCAATAATGCATAAATGTAACGTCAACGATTCGTGCTATTTGCTAAGAATAAACAGACAACAAATGGTCAGATTTATTTTTTTGTATTTTCGAGTTTATTGTTTCACGATCAGCTGAGTGTGTATATATTAGTCGGAATTTTTGACAGAAGATTTTAGAACAATCCATGTTTGAACCGCGTGCAAACGTTATTTACCGGCGAGACTGACGCATTTGTATTCTCTCTGCGAATCTAAAAAAAAAAAAGTCCATAAAGTTCAGCAACCGATAGCGACCGATCCTCGCAAAAGCGTTAGAAAAGCGTCACGCAAACTTTTACCTCGAACTGCTTTACTTTGTTGCGACAACAGTTACCGCGCATCTGCTACATTTTGCCACACCGGAAAGCGATATCGTTTGACTGTAACGTATTACGATTTCATTTACAGATATTGCAGATATTGCAGATATTACGGAAATATTTCTACAGATATCACAAAAATATTTTCATACGTGAGACTTTCGCGAGGTAAGAAATATTTTTTAATATACTCCGAGATTAAACCCGAGGAGAAAATCGAATCGTCCCTTTTTCTAATATCAATTTTACTGCGTATGACGATCCTGTTTAAGATAAATTTAAATAATATAGGCAATATCAAAGATTTCTACGACATACATATGCTTAGCAAAATAAAAAAATTTGCATATTTTTCGGCAAATTCCAACCAATGTTTTGCTCGTCAAGAACGAAAAGAAAGAAGGAACTGGTTTTTCAAACTCGTTTCATCGCAACAGTACGTTGAAGGCTTTCGTCACACAAAAAAAAATCGACAACACAATTTAATAGTCGCGGCAAAATTACGGATAATTAACCTTAATAAAAAATTGAACAAGACGATGCCGCGTTTCAATAAATGAGTTACTTTACGCAAAATTGCATTCACACTCTCGTCCCGTATACATCTCCATTCTGCATCATTATTGTTACAAAGTGATGACGAGTAAGAATGAGTAGGAGATACAAAAGCCTCCAATTACTTGCTCCGATACATTAGAGATGCTCGCTCGCGAAGAAAAAAATTACAATGGCAAAAGATATACATTTTCCAAGTAAAATTGTACGATCGTTCGGTAAAAGCACGATGAACGACGACTTTTATTTTCGCTTCAATGTACAATTTCTCCGAATCGCTCCTTCCTCTGACGTACCTAAATACGACGTAAAGATGAGTGAGAGGTCGTCGAAGGTTTGTTGATACACACGTACACACACACGCGCGAGCTTATCTCGAGCTCGAGACTCGCGGCGCGCACACACACATATATGTGTGTATAAACACTTGGGCTGGCTACGCAACAGCCGAGGTAAATCGACGCGAATTTATCTCAATATCCTAATCTAACTTCTTTCGCGAAAAGAATTACAGGATTTTCGTACAAAATTGGTACGCGGGGCTCGGTGATTTGTGGAAGGAGAATTCGAGGAAATATTGTACATCGAAGCGAAAATAAAAACGACCATCGTTCGATCCGTAGCGCTTGTAAGATATTATATTAAAGCCTAAGAGATAGTATTATATTATCTTATGGTTAAACGCATGGCTACTTGAGTTATTTATCGCACAGTATGTATTTAACCCGTGTGCTGGTAAATAGACTATACGCATTACGCGTAAATACAATGTATAATCTATGTGAGAAAAAAACTTGAAATACTCTAGCGTTCTTCGTTCTGCAAAGCTTTGTAGAAAGGAAGTAAATTTATTCCGATTATTTCAAACTTGTTTTGCCGAGCTATGTTTCTTAATAATGTCGAAAAAATAAATTTACTTATAAAAACGAATACATTTATTATTATACATATGTAAAAACAAATATATTTTTATGTTAATTATTAAAAACAAATATATCTTGTGCTGAAACGAACAATTTTGATGCACGATGCGCATGAGAATTCCTATAATATCTTCATTTTAATAAACCTATTATAATATACCACTTTTTTTGTTTATATGGTACATGGGACTATTAGAAATTTATCGATATAATTAATGTGGGTAGTAACTTCCGCGAGTAATAATTTAAACGCACTACAGTGTGTTTTTATTGCATGCATCCGGTTCGATATAAAAAACATAGAGTTAAATAAATTCCGTAACGATGTAAATAAATTTTCGCATACAACGCTACGTATTAAAGTAGACCACAAAAAAAATATGTATATTCGAATTTTTTTATCAACGTGCTTGCGCTACCTAAATTTAGAAAGCAAACGGCATTTTAACTTTTCTGTTTTCATTCGAAAATCAAGCTGCGAACGGAAATCACTTCGTTCATTCCGAAATGTCAAAAATTGTATTTATTAATTTGTGAGCGATAATTTAATACACAAAACTTGAAACGCGCTTTCGCGAATCGCTAAATCGCTATCAAGGATAAATTCATTAAAATAGTTTTCTTCTCGCAACAAAACTAATTCGGTAAAAAAGTATGCAACGTATTTTACGCGTTTGTATTAGGTCGAAAAACCGAGTTCTCGAAAGAGCAATAAAAAATCACTCAAAGCGAGCATTTCCCCGAAATCCATCGCAGCGAGATTTACCCCGAAAACTTCAGTCGGTCGAACGTTGTTCAAATATTCCGCGACAGGACGATCGCTGGTTTTGCTCACTAAAAGCAATTTTATGCTGCGAAGTATAATAGCGGCGCGTGAATAATCGAGCTTTCACTCCGAAATTCTCTTCGATCATTTTCGATCGTTTTTCATATCATCGCTTTTCTCCTAAATGAAAAAATTTCGCGATAAAGATCGAAGAGACGCGGTCGTTATTCGGCAACTTCATGTTGTTAAAATAACGAAGTGAAAAAATCATAACGGCAAAATATCGATCGGCCATTTTGTGACCGGTTATGTCGGCGCTCATCGTGCATATATCCCGCGATCTGTAATTCAATACACGTTGTAATTGTCGAAATTGCGAATGCCAGCTATTCGTCCTCTCACTTCCCGCTGATTTCGCGCATATTTGACACCGTTCACCGGCGTACGCGTCGCGAGAATCGAACGCCTTTGTCTGGCGGAAGAAAGAAACGCATCGAAGACACTGACCTTGTTCTGCTTCGATCCCCACGGCGGCTGTCCTCCTGTGGCACACGATGCAGCGACGACGCAGCCCTCACCTCCACGCGACGTATCGTGTTTCAAGTAATCCAAATTCCAGGTACAATCCACTCTCACCGTCCACCGAGTCTCACTGACGCTCAAGCTCGATCGTGTGTCACTGCACTCTGAAGTTAGGCGCACGGCGCGTCTTTCCGCTCAAGGATTCACTCTCGCGCGTCCAACGCGATCGCGGAAAAATTCGAGAGGCGCGATATCTCGTCGATCAATCAACCTCAACGTCGCCACTCGAAACTACGCGAAACTACGCGCGCGGCAAGATACACATCGGGGCGACAGCAGCTCGAGGCTCTGCCTCCACGTGGAAGCGAGCGACCGATGTCAACGCACGTCCGTCACGTCAAAGCGGCGAAGTGAAACTGGCGCGCCACCGCGCCTTCGCGGCCGCCGCGCGAGGCGCGTTCTCCCACTCCAGCTCCGCCGCCCTGCTCCTCAGTCCGTTACCTTCCGTGCCCCGTTCCCCACCTGCCGACCGCCTGACGCGCTCTTCCACCGGCGACGATCCCTTCTCTCTTCAAGTACGATCTCTTATACCGGGTCCACACAAGCAACCCCGATTCCTTTTTCAACTCTAGACCGGCGCGAACGTGTTGCCGCGTGTATGCCTCACTTCATGGTGCTTCGTCACCGTTCCCCTTCCCCCTCCCCTCCGCCTGTTGGAGCAAGCCACCCGCGCGATGCACGCGAGTTCGAATATCGTGCGCCTCTTTCCTCGTGTTTCTCTTCGATTGGCACGATGTTATGATCGACGCTGACCCAATCAAAGTTCGACATTCGCGACCGGAGGCAAGTGGAAAAAAATGGTAAACTCGAGTGAGTGGATTTTGAATCCGGAGCGTTTGTTGAAATCGCGACGTAACCCTCTCTCTCTCTCTCTTTCTCTCTTTCTCTCTCCCTCTCTCTCTCTCTCTTTCTCTCTCTCTCTTTCTCTCTCTCTCTCTGAAGAGAGAGATGGCACGCGATAATAGGGAAGCACCGATAAACTCGTTGCGAATAGATACTCGACCGTTAATCCGCGTCGATGTGTCGACGAGGAAAGCGTTTTTATCGGCCGATATTCAATGCGGTGCAGATGGAAGCGATTTTAATGGAGGACTCGCATAAAATAAATCGTTGCGCGCTTTATAATTATATCAGAATTGAATGCAACAATCGTTCAACTTTGTGCAGTGTCAAAAAAAGTCGTAAGTCGAAATATTTCAAGAGACGAATCTGAACCATCGAACGAAAAGAGAGAGAGAAAAGGTTGTGTACGAAAATTTAATTCGAGGTTGTCATTATATTTATGCTTGTTTACATCTGTCAAGACACGCAACGTGCAACATCTGGTAACAAATGCATGGTACATCGGAGTAATGGAACGCATTTCTCACACTTTCGTGCAACGCAAGGATGCGCAGGTAAATATTATCTTGATTTGCTGATCATCTTTTTAAAATATTTATCATATAGTAGATAATATATGTGTATACGAAAATTAAAGTCATCACGATAATATTGTCGATGCATTTAGCAAACGCCAGTGCTTCATAAAGCGATAAATAATTGCTCGATGAGAGGGGCATTGTACTGTTTTTCGGTAATCAGGCGTGAATAACAATGGTTAATCGTGCATGCAACGCGTACGAAGGTTTATGCTTTGTTCTGCTTTTAATGCACCCAGACCCGCATCGATCCAAGTATAATGTATTAGAAAAAATACTGCAAATGTTTTTTCAAACTAACACGAGATGTTCTCGCACTTAATTGCACACACACATTCAAGCTCAATATCTGTAATATTCTAGTTTAACGAACAGTGTACAAGAGACTTTTAAATATTTATTGAAAAATACCCGATTTTTTCATTCAAGATTTATATATTGTATAATTTTATCCTTATAAATCTTAATTAAATTTATAATTTTATTTAATTTTCAACATAACTATGTATTAAACAAAATATCCACGGGGCGAGAGGGGGACAAAACGAGTATCGTCGATGTATAAGAGACTTTTAAATATTTATTTAAAAAATACCCACTTTTTTCATTCAAGATTTATATATAATTTTCTCCTTATAAACATTAATTAAATTTATATATAATTTTCGACAATCACACAAACATAACTATCTGTTAAACAAGATATCCACAGGGCGAGAGGGGAACAAAACGAGTATCCTTGCGTCTAGTTTATGCGACATAAATTTTCAGAAAATGCAGCCTAATTGACTCCTATACATTTTGCCCGTATGATAAATCATAACCGCACGCTATATACGTACCTCTACACCTGCACCCGCAAAAATTCGCATCGGTATAACGGTCTTTCGCATCACGCTCAACCTACCGCATTACCGGAAGAAGAATTTCACGAGAGCCGACAGTTATGTCGTCGGGTTAACATTTAAATCTACGCACGCGGTGTGTCAAAGATGCAGGTGTCGCTTTAGACGACGTTAAATTGCGTTCCACAGTCAGACAAACGCGCAGACCGCTCTGCTCAGACCTGTGTTTGCACCGGTAGTTGCCAGTGACTAAGCTAACGGAGCCGACCATGTACCAGGAACTCGCAGAAAGGGACACGAACAGAAGATCCCTTAGTTCCCTCTATTCCCTTCGTCCTCTCTCCCCTCAGATATCCCTCCTGCCATAGTCCCGGTCCTATCGGCCCCCTGTTCACCGTCACCCAACATCTCGCCCTCGCAATCAGCTGCGTTTGTGTGCTCGGACACCATTACCTTAATTAAGAGCGAAGTTTTCTCAAGCTGCCCGCGCGAACACTTCCTAAACTAAGTTCTCTCTATTGATTTTATCTTAATATCTTTAAGTTCTTCGCGCAGTTCGTCCTTTTATTCTTCTCCCTCTGCCGCAGGCGCTACGTGCTACGACTAAATGGCTTTACATGCATAAGACGTCCCGTCATTAATGTCGCTAAACTTATCGTCGCCTTAATGAGAATTTCTCGTAATTCCATTTTTCTAAATATGACGCGCGACGCGAAGACTGTTTAAGAATTTTCTAATGTAGTTGCGTCAAGTTTGAAATTAACCCCCTTAAATGATTTACGATGCTACACTTCACAGCGTAAAATCAGAGTGTTTTTTATCTTCGGAGAATGATAAAATCTTTAAAATCCTCGAATTATAAAAAGCAGACGGATCCTCATTATATTCATTAAATAATATTTTTTTCCAGTCTCTTATAAAAGATTTCAGATATCATCCTTATTAGTTTGAATTATAATTTTCAATTTATTCTATTAATTTTTTGTGCATGGATCTCGCTAATTATAAGATACTATTAACCTTTTTGCGGCGTATTTTTTGATTTTTATCTTTTAATTTATTAACATTCTCGCATTTTTTTCTGCAACGTATATTTCCTCTATTTTCTCTTCAACACACTTTTTTCTTTAATCTTTTTTTAAATAGCACACAACAGGAGACAACTTAAATATGCTTATTTCCTTTTGGACCTATTCAGCACAATAGCGATCGATCCTATAACGCGCGTTTTATTAGTTTTTTTGTTATATTACTGCATCTTTTCGTTATATTACTGCATCTTTTCGTTCACGAGAATAACAGAGAAGAAGATAAAGAGATGATGAAAGGAAGGAAAAGGAAAATAATGTCAGAAGCAATCTTTCACGATTATTTTTTCCTTTTTTCATTCTCTATATATTTGACTGAAGATTATCAACTTCTAAGCATCCATTATCTAACAGTCATCAATGTATAAAAATGCAGACATATGCATACAATACATGTAAATATATAAATGAAAAGACAGTTGTTAGTTTTGTAACATTTCATCTTTGCCGTCTGTATTTTCGCAGATCTAAAAACTGCTTATTATGTTTCAAGTTGCTTACTTATAATACAATACTTCAAATGAGCTCGAAGTTATCGAAGCGTGAAAGAAGGAAAGGTGTGCAAGGTGCGAGATATCAAAATATCGAGGAGCGAATTATAAAATATCGTAATCTTATCAAATATTCTCACAGTTATAGTTATGTATTTGCGACTCCCAAAAGAGAAACACCGTTCAAAAGCAACAAGTGAAAGTTTGCACGAAGCAACATAAGTCGGAAATCGTGCGCGTCACGCATTATCTCTCGTTTCCCACTCTGCTGCCTTCGTCCAGTATAATCAGCAGCGATCATATCCAGCCTTGGGATCTCGTTTTACTTTAACTCACTATTAACCGTTATCAGGGATTCGATCGGGGTATCGTCGGTCAATGCAAACTACTTCGTTGATCGCTCCTCGATCAGACTCCGATGAGTTTGATGAATTCGGTTTCGTCAGCGTTTCGAGCTAGCGGCGCTAGTTTGTTCGCTTAGGAGCTGCCAATGAACCGACCTGGCCGACAAAAACTGGTCGGACAGGTAAGCGGTAGCGAAATATACAGGTACATATCTGACGCCATACGTGAGGTTAAACAGCCCCGAATGAGAGAAGTAGACGTCGTTCTAGACGTTGTCCTTCTGTTCGACATGAACACGTTTTCTTCGGCAACATACGCGTTCGAACTTAACGAGTAAGCGAGGCAGACTCATCTCGGTTTCGTCGCGTATGATTTACAACGACATTAAAGGCGAGGTTGGTCTTTTGTGCGTACGCTTGAGATGTAACGCACGATGATCCAATGCCGGATGGAATTGCGCCACTGAATGGACCTGCGAGATTAACTCTCTTTTGAACGATGCATCAAAAAGATCCTTAGACTCTCTTTGAACTAATTCGCGAGAGATGCACGATGTGCTTGGTAATTTAGGCCCGCGGGGAAATAAGGTTTTTCGGTTTATCTTAATCCGAAAGTATAGGTATATACGCGGCTTGCCTCGGACTCCGATCGATTCGAGAAGATCTCGTCGGGATCGTGACCTTCGTTCGGTCATTACAGCCGCCATAAATCATACGGGAAAATTACATCGCGGACTTCTTGTGATGAGAGTATTACTTGCCGACGAATAAGGAAATATTCTCGGCGAGATCAGACAAGCTAACATTTCGCGTATTTATGTCGAAATACGTTTTGCCCAAGATACAATTTTTCATATGCAATTACAATAATTATCTTCGCGATTTCGATCCTTTCGAGGAAGTTTTGTTTCGACGAGGAAAAATGTAATTATAATAGACAAATAATTAGATTCCAAGTATACCGATGAATGTTTAACAACTAACGTGACGTGAAAAATATTCCGCGAGCGAATGAAATCGACGCACTTACTATGCTCAATGTACTGTATAAATCGATAATTGGAGCATCAGTCGTTTTACGCCTGGAATTTTCAATCTTTGCAAAACACGTCGCGCATTCGACGGACCAGTCGCATTTTTCGTTCGAA